TTCTAAATATTCTATTTCTTTCTTCATATATGTTAATATATACCATACATGTCATTACTCTAATTGTGGATTAACAGTTTTATCGTTCAGTTAAATTGTAATTATTTTTTATGTACTTGGTTCTTCTTCAGTTTACTCCAATGTTAAATTTTAAATTGCTGGGGTCTAACTCGAAAACCTTATGGTTAATTTAGACCCCAGGCTCTGAATTATGTTCTTTTAACAATTATCTATTCTTTATTTTCTTAGTTGTTTTCTATAGTTGTTTTTCACATTTCATGTAAATTTTCTTGTATGAGCAAATAAAATTGTATTGTATTGTATTGTATTGACCAACATTTGTTGGGAGACTTTATCATGGTTGATAAAAAAGTTTGAATAGAAGTTGGGTCAAATGTTAGAACCATTTTGTCTAGACCTTTATAATAATATTATAAACAAATGAACAAGTAAAACTATACCCAAGTTTCACAGGTGCACTAGGATCCTGGAATGATGTGCATGAGGTATAGATAGGCAGAGGGTTGTAAGGACTTGTAGCATCACAGCTTACATCAACCACTACAGTCAGAGACCTGTCGAGACAAATCAATGCTATTAGTTGAAGAATATATTGGAATATCTGTTTTCTCCAGCAACTGTTTCTGCTGAAGCATTTACACTGACCCACCAATAGAAAGACAATTTTATCTTGCTTGTCATATATTGAATTGGAGACTCAAATTTTGATTCATACTCGGATAACGTAATTCCATTTGATTTTCATATCTACATTAAAAGTAACACAGTCTTAATTTACTTGAACTCCAGCAAGTATGTCCCTTAGTATGCTTGTGGTAAGTCAACTAATGTATCTGGAGCTATCAATGTATAAATATCTTAGGTGGGAGGGGGTTGTTTGCCATTCAAACTTCTAATAAATATATAAAATGTTGTTTGCCCAAAGAGACCTGGAGAGCTCGACAGAAGCTAAGGTACAAATATACATGCATATAACAGAAACAAACTAGATGTAGCTCCAGCTGAAATCTTGAATATGCTAACTGTTTTACAGTATTGCAGGTCAAAGAATTTTCTTCTATCCTTTGTTTTAAAAGAAGGAAAGCTATAAACTAAGGATTCAGAGATGGTGATCAAGGATGATCACCAAATCACCTTTCGTTGGTATCCAGCATGTCCCGCGTCAGGAATGGTGGAATTTTCTACAAGACAAAGGCACATTCAGGCAAACTGACGTGTAACTGGCACGTCACCTAAATAGCCCTAGAAAAACTCCACACATATTCATATAATATGTATACATGTAATAAAATTATATTATACATATAATAAAATAAAAATTATCAGAAAGTTAAGACAAATATCATGTAATCTTGTAAATGAATAAAAATATTGTTTTTATGGGCTTTGGGAATGCAAAATTTCTGTGGTTTCTTTAGGCCTCGTACACATGTATCCGGAAATTTTTGTATCTGCAAATTTTTTTTGCCGATATGAAAATGTTTGCATCTACACACAGCGTATTCGAATCGTTTTCACTGTCCACACGTATCCATTTTCGTAAAATTTGCGGATACAGATACAAAAATTTGCGCACACGTGTGGACACAACTTGTATCCGCAAAAAAAATTTGGCGGATACAAAAATTTGTGGATACGTGTGGTCGGGGCCTTATACCAATAAAACATACATCTCAGGATTAAGTTATTTTACCCGGGAAGGGGGGGTATTCTCATATATGGAAGGGGATGATCCGCTGAACAGGGTAAGGTTTTTCGAGCTTCTTGTCATAAACAGGGTATGCAATTTCACTCAAGTTCAAAGTTCTTCCTGAGTTTCCTGTCATATTCAGAGTTTCTACTTTCGTATTGAGCGAAACTGGTTATTATGGTCGTAAAAAAACGATATGCGAGATGACATGATAATTGAAACGGGAACTCAGTGCAATTAATTATATCTTTAGTCATAAACAGGGTCTACAAATTTGGGTTTTTTTGTTCAAAATTCTTGAATAGAGATGACAGTGATATCAGGTCATGTTAGTAATTTTAGATTTTGTATTGGTGTATTGCATGTAAGCCAATATGTATCTGATATGATAATTCATTACTAATTGGCTTTATAATGTTATGGAGGGTGACATGTGACAGTCGAAACTGATAAACTTGTGGCCCTCTATTTTTAACGTCTCTGAATAAGACTGGACTGACATTTTAAACAAGCCAACACCTTGTACTTAAATACTTTAAGACCCTGAGTGTTGGTCAGGCCAAGGATTGAACCCACGACCTCCCACACAACAGTCCTGCACATTCCCAACCAACTGAGGGAGGTATGATCTATTGATTATAAAGATAATATACATACTAATAGTTAAAGGTTCCTTTACCTTGGTCAAGCAAATGCAGTTAACAAAGATGTCATAGTTAAGAATCTCTTTGAATGGTCCACCTTTCTTGGTCTCATTTATATCCCATTTACCCAGGTGAGAACTAAAAAGAAGAAAGCAGAAAATATTAAATTTATAAGCCAAACTTTCTTGGGGTAATTTTTCCCCCATTTCATGTCCCATTCTTCTGAATTACAAAATTCACAAATACCCCAAAATTATTTGTATGACTAAAGTGAACAATCAGAAAACTTGATTCCAAGAATTTGGCCAGAAATCTTTTGAATAAAAACTTATTTCTTGCCATAAACCTGGTTCAAATTTTAAAAATGACGCCCTAATTTGAGCCAAAATGGCTCTATCTTTTGAAGTTTTGAGTTAAAGCAATAGTACTTACGCTGGTATGCCAACTTTGTTAGCCAAATCCAAAGCACCTTTACCACAGCGTCCTAAAGCACCAATGATTATGATTTTGGGGAAGAGTTCTGAAATACCTGTAAAACAGCACAATATTTATTTGCAACCTTTCAGCTTGTATTCTTATAGTAGTATAGGGAATGGGGGTTCCAGCGCAATCTCAACACGGGGCAAGACCCGTGTCAAAAATCCACCTACGGAAACAACCCACTCC